TCAAAAACAAGATAAAATAAAGAAAAAGTCATGTCAGATGTGAGTTTCTTTCGAATTATGGAGTAACTGATAAGAACAGCGTCTACGAGAATTCTTAGTTAAACAGGATTCTATAATACTAAGTATACTATAATGTGTGGTTTCTTGAGTATAATTTTTACCATTATCTTGGATTAGTGAGGAAGTGTTAGCAAATGACAATACTCAATGTGCATACGCTTTTAAGCACTGAAAAAAAAATTTGATGTAATATCACTATGATACAAGTTACTTTATGAAATCCAACTGACAAAAATCGATGCCTACACCAAGTACGAACTTTTCTGCTCTTTCGATCGTCAAGAAATCTATTCCTGTTTTTTTTTTTACCCTTCCTGAAAACAGAGAAGAAAATATATTCAAATCTTACAGACACCTGCTTTCTCTTGATTTTCAGTGGGAGAAATCCTGGAAATAGGCAATGAGTAGAATCCAGCTTCGTCCTCTGTATTTCTTGAATTGAAGATCTGTTGAGAATTTTTACAATGAGCAATTGCGGACTCGATTGAGATCTCGATGTCGGAAGCAGCACTGCTGCTCCTCTTGAGCAAGTGCGACTCATAAAGCACGTTCGAATTAATTGAAAACGATGAAGAAGAAGAAGAAGAGCCAGAGGAAGAGGATGAGGATGAAGATAAGCACTTGGATGGAGAATGACGTTTGATTGCGCCTGAGAATGACCTCCTATGCTGGCTGATATTCTCCTCGATTCCTTCCTTGTCGACGTTCTTTACCGAATTAGAAAGAGTGGGACGTGCTCTTCCAAAATGTCCAAACGGGGCCTTCTTTCCCACCTTAACGTACTTACCCGGAACTTGTTCAGCCTCTAAATTGCAGGCTGCCTTGGCAGCGGACTCGTCTGAGCAAGCAGACTTGCGAAAGAGTGACTTGAGGTATGCCCGAGAAGCCTTGAGCTTCTGAGTTAGGGAAGATTGTCTAATCATCTTGAGCTTCTTAGACCAAGATTTCTTCGGATGACTGCCCCCGGCCCCGATGAAGCTGCTGAGTTCAGTTGACCACCCAAAGAAGTACTCGGATGGATTGAGTTCGCAGCTCACTCTGCAGGACTCTGATGGAGATATGTTGCAGGAATCCAGGGGGGTGCTGGTATTAGTTGAGGGTGCCGTGAAGCTGCCAATGAAGGGAATGCCGCAGTGGTCATCTTCATTTGCAAGGGCCTCTTTTCTGGACTCGTAAGCGGAGATGGTGGGGGTTTGGAGAAGCGTCTGGACCATCTGCAAGCGCGGAGGGAGGTAAAGAGGGAGGAGTTTGCCTTTGTAAAAGAGCTCATCGGCTGGGGAAGGGGTGGTTTCTCTGTCGTTGGAAGCAGAGGAGGACATCTGAAACTCAAATTCCCTGCTCTGCGGAGAAGCTTTTTCTGAGCAACAAAACAAGCTGTGACAAGAGCTCACTTCCATGTCTATATAGTCTTCGTCTGCATCGGGACAGGATGAAAGATATGTGGCCATTTCACATGAGCAGAGGCTGCTGTACCCTGTGACCTCTGTGGCCTGTGCCTGCGATGCTTATGGGGAGCTGAGCTTGATGAAGAGAAGAGAGAAGGAAGGGCAGACAGAGCATCATTTATTAAAGCGGAGATGGTGCCAAGTTAGAAAAAGCATAGAGAATTGCAGTCATTTTGAGTTTCCTTTCCTTTTCTTTTTTTTTTTTGAAAAACTTATAGATAATTGCTACAGTACAAATTAAAAAGAAAAAAAAAATCGTGCCGAGCTAAAACATGGCTTTAACCTCAATGTAGACTGTCATATACGCGTGGTTTTTGTCATGAAAAGGCTAGCCTACGAGTATTATGTATGTTTGGATCGAAAGGAACTACGCAATCAGGGGATTCGAACTGCCACTTAATTGTGGCTGGTTCGAGAAATTCCGTCTGACTCCTTTTTTTTCTCTTAGATTAGATTAGAGTAGATTATATAAATATTATCGTTGTGAAAAAAAAAAAGACAGGAATTCGGGCTGGTCATGTTTCATATTTAGCAGTGGATTTCCTCTTAATCTTCCCGTGCTTTTTTATGGATGAAAATGTCGTAAATTTCGTGACATTCATGAAAGAAAATTGGACTAGTCTCGAGGAAGTTCCATGAAGAAGAAATCCACATTGTAGTTGGCTCCGTTTGATAAAACTGAATCTGAATTCTGAATTCTGAATTCTGAATGCTGAATGCTGAATACTGAAACAATTAATTTGCTGAATATTAAGCACTGAAAAAAGATATATGAATATCTGAATCTTAATGCTGAACATATTTATACTGTTTGATAAACATTTATAACTTAATGCTTAATAAGCTAAATTGTACAATTTTGTCCTTCTATCTTTTAATCCAAAAAGGAAATGGAACCTATGATTTAATTAACTTAAAATTGTTAGGTATGAAAATGACAATATTTATTTTTAAATCAAAGTAATATAAAAGAATAAATATATTATGAAAAAGTCCAAATATCGGTGCAAATATTTTTTTAAATCAGAGTTTGATAAGAAAAGTCCAAATATAAGCAAAAGGAAGCTGCAATAAACAAGTTTTAAATTCATACCAAATTATTTAGAAATTTAATTACTTCAATGGAAAAATGTTGAAGCAAAACAACAAATAAATGTCACTTACCTTGGAAATAATGAATTTGAGATCGGTGAGTACGGTAGCAATAAAAAAAATTGGGAGGAAAAAAATGACAAAATTATGAAAGAGTAGAAAGATGGAAAAAAAATAAGGAGCAGACAGATGTGAGGAGCATGGAGAAATTGTAAAAAAGTCATTAAATAGGGAAAAAATAGAAGTAGAAAGCCATTAGACAGAGAATGGCATGTTGTTTAATTAGATAAGGATTTTGGATAGAAAATATTAGATTGTTTAATTAGATAAGGATTTTGAATGTAATTAACAAACAAGGATAGATTTGGTAGATAAAATAAAGTAATTGAAGTAAATCTCTTGATTCTTATCAAATTAAGCATTCAGTTACGATTCTTGTGCTGAAAAAAATACATACAAATTCAGCACCACTTAATAAGTTCAGCAGAAAAATTTTTATTTATCAAACACCCAAAATATCTGAATGTCTGAATGAATTCAGTTTCAGCACTTTTTTTTGTTATCAAACAGACACTTAGACTTAGAGAGAAGAGCAGCTTCAAGCTTTTTCTGACCAGTGATCGGCTTTTGTTTTGGTGCCATTCTGGCACTTTTGTGTGATGGATCTTAATCTTATGGAATCAATCATGTTCAGACTTCAGACTGATCTGATGACATATTGCTGTCCAAACAGATGTTAGAGCCAGACAAGTTAAAAAAAGAAACAATAGTAGTATTAACGCTGCTCATTTACATGGATGGGCATAATTTTACCGTTTTACTGCTAAAATAAAATAATCAACATCAACAACCAACAACCAACAGAGAGAGCATCCATTGCTTTGAGGACAAGCTGCCGTCTTAGCTCAGCCGGTAGAGCGCATGGCTTTTAACCATGTGGTCGTGGGTTCGATTCCCACAGACGGCGTTCTCTCTCCTGGAGAGAAAAACCGTTTTTGACAGTTTTCGTGATTAACTACTACTGAGGTTTGCAGCTTTTCCCAAAAAGAGGAAAAAAAAAAATCCACTACTGAGGTTTTCAGGACACCTATTCTGCTATCAAAACTACTACAAAAGAAACAGTTGAATACTCCTCCCTGCAACGCCCACTTCTTCTCTGCAGCACAATATGTCATCATACGTACAAGAACGCTGCCCATTCCTCAACACTTTTACTGTTTTTGAGATATCAAACTGTTAAAAAATGTCTTTTTGACCCCCTACCCTACTATGGTAACCGCGATGTGCGAAGAAAAGTGTAAACATTAAAGAATGGAAAGGTTCTGGTTTTCCAGGCTCGAGGGTTTCTTTTGTTTGCATATCCTTGTTGTAAGTTGTAACTGACAAATCTCCGTCCCATCCCTCTCAAGCCTCAAGGACGATTCCAAATCGATGAAACCCCACTATGGCACTATTTCAGTCGGGCCATACGGAGCTGAGAGGAAAAAAAGATAAATAAAGAAAAGGGTCTTTAGATACTAGAAAGATAGCCCGCCACCTAATTGATTTCTAGTTATTAGAAAGCTTTAAGCCTTTTCTTATTACCAGTGAAAAAATGTTGAGTAACAGGTAAGAGGCCACCATCTCCTATCCCATAAGAATGATAGACAGATACTCCTAAAGATGGAATGATATCTAAAGAAAAGGGTCTTTGGATAGATAGTCCACGTGAATTATAGGGGTGGAAGGTTAAGATTTTAAACCTTATTTTCCATCAATATACCATTCTATATATGAATTTTTTTAAATTCATACGGATGCGTGATACAGTCATCTGATCCGATGATGATTCAGTCCATATCGATTCTCTTGATTCAGTTGAACCACCCTCTTAAAATAGATTAGAGTAGGAGTAAACTAAACTAGATACGTCATTACACCCAAACAAAAAAAAAAGGGATAGATAGCCCGCCACCTAATTGATTTCTAGTTATTAGGAAGCTTTCAGCCTTTTCTTATTACCAGTGAAAAAATGTTAAAAGTAACAGGTGAGAGGCCACCATCCATCCCCTACATCCCATAAGAATGATAGATTGATATTCCTGTGCGCCCTTCTGGAGCTTCGCCTCAGATTGTTCACATGAGGACCTGACATTTCCAAAAGCCTATACAGTCTGACTAGGATTTCATTACCTCATGGCCAAATCTCCTTTCTAAGGAGTCCCAATCAAGAACACCCTTTCGGCTTGTTCCAACTAAGTACCACAGCATTTTTCAGGTTAAAATCCCACTTTGACTGTAAGCAAATGCAGAAACCAGGGAAATAGGAGTAGTAATTAACTCGGACCGGACGGTTATATTCCAATTTCTGAGATCTTCACCTTACCCATTGTTATCATTATTATTATTATCAGACCAGGTATCTTCTTCGTGCTGCTACGACACTTTATTAGATTATTAATAAAGATGATGAGAAATGAATGAGCCAAATGGCAGTACAATATGAACCCCGCTTATGCTTACAATGTGGATTTTTTTTTTTTACATAAAAATCAACATTAAGTTAAGAATCGTAGTCCTGCCGCCCCATTTCTTCTTCTTTTCTTTCATAGAAATCAGCTACGAGCCTGTCGTTAACAGACGACGGTTTGCCGCACTTTATTGATTCCAAGAAGGAAAAATTTGTCAGTGAGGGTGAGAAGCAAACTTCTTCTTCTAGTAGCCATCAATCTCTGGCAATGGCATTTTCCAATAATTCCACGAGTTGTAATCTTCCTGCGCGGATCATAAAACATCAGAAATGTCATTGCCAATGATTGATGAATGCCAGTATCAAGCCAAAAAGTAAGACAGCGCCGCACCCCGAAATACTTGGAAGCATTACTATAGTGTATTAAGGAGGGAGTACCTGCTCGAGCAACGATGTAGGCGGGAACATATCATGTACCAGCGTGTGTAGTGAAGTGTACGACTTCACATCAATGCGATGATTAATGGCTACCTCACCCTGGCGGTACCAAACAATTAGTGAAGAAGAAGAAAGAATTAAAAACATCATTAGCAAGTGATAAATAACCTTAGGGTTGATGATGAATATTTTGCCCTTTGGGATGCCAATCTTTCTGTAACTGAGCTCATCGGTGTCTCTGTTCCCAAAACCCGCATAGAAGGGATTGTAATCAGGAGGGAAAAGCGCTTTAATATCCTGCAAAGTATACTGTTTTTAGCGTCCCAGCAGGGATGCATCGAAAAGAAATCCAAAGCTTAAAGGATTCATTCGTTAATCACTAAGAAAAAGTTCGCTCTTATATTTACCTCTAAACACGCAATCTTAAATTCATGAGGAGCTCTTCTTATCACTGCCATCCACAGAAAACATGTATTCCAAACTCATCATTTCCTTGCACAATACACAGATTAACTGGCAGCACACCACCAAATTCAAACTGTTTGAAGAGAACGAGAAGGATACAGCATTTCTCATTCTTTGTCATTAGGAAACACAAGCAGGTTCTTGCCATCATCTAAATATTGGAATTTTCACAGAGCAGTGACTGGCTCTTGCAGCTCCTTATTTATGAAAAAACTCACGCGCACACAGAGCAATATACCAGATATCTTTTCACTTTCCGAAGAGTAATTTATCAAAATGATGGAAGGTCAAGCTATAACAAATTTTTCAGTTTTAGTTACACAATCAGATATTTCAATGGACATGTCTCTTCACAGAATATAACAATAGCTGTAAAATAAATCTAGCCTTTTCACAAAGGCAGGTAAAGAGACTGCAATGTCAAAGCGATATTCTTCACTTGTTCGTTCATATGCATATGTGAAGACCCACAGAAACGAAGGTTACAAAAGATTTTGGTGCTTTACAACTACATTCACGGGATGTTTTACGCTAGCTATGGAAGAATATATTGATACATTCCTTGTTGAAAATCCCAACAATTCTACACCTAATGACCAGAAGGAAAATATCATGCTTTAAATAGAACCACCAAAACATAATGACATGACTATACAAAATACATGCAGCTTGCAGCATCCATTGTTCTATTTGCCTAAACTCTTATAATGATGAAAGCGGAAGGTATCCAAGATAATGCCAAAACCGAAAAACAGGATGATCACTAAAACTAAGCACAAAATATTGCATAATGGTTTAAGCACTTTCACAAAACAAACCAAGAAGTAGAGCAAAAAATCCTTGAGAAAAGGGAAGGGAATGCCACCTTCTCGGTATAGTGAAGGGAATAAACCATCAGGCGATATGACAACAGGTCCATCTGGCAAGGTATTCCCATCCTGCGAGCATTAAAACAATGTTCCTCCCCCAGTGATACTATTTCTCTGGCATCACATCATCAATATGCATGGAGTAGAAACAGCAAGAGAAAAAATACTTGTACTATAAAAGGACCATAGAAGTTTTATGTCAATGTAAAGAGATATAATACTGTTCATTTAGAATAGCAGTCATATCAACGACATTGTACCTCAAGGATTTGAAAGAACAAGAAAATAATGTCAATCAACTGCCCCAAATTGCAAATTGATTTTTGAGAACATAAACCCTAACATTTTTATTGTCCTCTTATTACAAATTATTAGAAGTGAAAGATTTTCTTAAAATTCCATCTCTAATTGCCAATAATTGCTGAATGGTTTAGGTTCACTCAATGGCATAAACCAAAAGGCATTTGAATTAGTCAAAAGCATAGTGACTCTTTCCTGGGAGAAACTTCAGAAAAAACTTGTCTTGGAAAGACAAGTGGCTCATTTTATTACGACAAGGAGTTGGAAAACAATCAAACCAGAAACTTGGCTCACCTGCTTTAAATTAAATAGAAAACTCTTGGTAATATATGCTTGAACGATTGCACGTGCACTCAAGAACAGAAGCTGGTACCCATTCTCCTGTTTTTAAGCACAACATTTGGATCAATATTGTAAGCCAATAAAGCAACAAATGTTAGTGGTATAGTGCAATGAAAGTAACTAGAGTCAGTATGAATGGACAATCACAAGAGAAGTGTCAGTTAAAAACAAGAAAGAATAAATAGGCAGAATGTATTTTCACTTTTGCCAGCAAAATGAGCTCTCAGTAAAGACAAGATGTACATAAATAGGCAAAATGATACAAATAACACTGAAACACTGATTTCTGTCCACATCTTTTCCCAAAAAAATAACATGTGGAGAAGGAGGAGAAAAACTCCAAAACTTGCTTCTGAACACCAAACATAACAGAAGTTATCCACCTTGGACACCTAGATGAATAAACACAAGTTTCAAACATCCATGTAAAGACATCTGTTTATGCTTGTAAAATGAAACTAGATCACTCAGCACAGCAAATGGTGCCAAAATAACAAAATAAAGGAAAGACATAGATTAAGGAAAAGATAACTTTAAAAGATAAAACCAATGGAGGAACTACCTTAATTGCTGAGAAAAGTCGAGCTATTCCAGAATGTGTCCAGTCCTTACCAACCAAGGGCATGAACTGACCAAGAACATCGGACCTAACAAACAAGCATAAACGAGTATCTGAGAGTGAGTAACTTGAAATGCAATAAATAAGCAGTGCCGCTTAGCCATGGCATATTACTCACAACAATCACATCTATGTTCACAAACAGTAGATTAAAGTAAGAATCAGAAAGTTATTTGTTGGATTACATCTTACAGACAGCCATCTTTGACTATCAACCACCACAAGTAAAATTCCCGATTTCACCTTTCCCTGATGATTAGAATCTCTAATTTTCAAACTCTTTCATGATCAATCCTTTTCTAATCCACGCCGTAACCCCCCACAGAAAAAGAGAAAAACAGAGAAATGTGATGTAGACACATAAATTACCTCAAACAAATACCTTATAAACTAAAGTTCATGAACTATGAATATTTACTCAATTTGAAAAGATTCATCACTATCTAGTTGAACATTTATCCAGGACAAGATAGTATTCCAATCTAGAGAAGAATGAACAGCTTAATAAATTAAGAGCAGTATCCTCAATGCTGTTCAACATATGGAAAGCTCTGAGTTTCTAGCAGATATAAATTCAAAGACATGCTTACTTGGTGATTGTTCCATCAACATCTGAAATTACAATCCGTGCATTCCACTTCCACAAGTATATATGAGCTTCAACCTGTTTAAGAAGATATGGCTCCCATTAAGAATGGATGGCATATAGTTAACTATATATGTCTATCAAGAAAAAAGAATGTGGGTGCGTGATTGCAAAGAAAAAGAAAGACCTTCTGAGGTCCTAGGACCCTTGAAAAGGATGTGAATGTCACCATATTCTGTCCCTCTTTTAGGTTCAAAGATGCAATTTGATCACTTGTAGGAACGTTTGTTCTCATAAGTGGCTTCTGAGGAGACTCCTTACCATCAGGAGCAGTTCGGGTTGCTTCTACAGGTTGACTCTGCGAGCCAGATTCAGAATCGGCAACTGCATCTTCGTTTGATGAATTACTATTAGCATGCTCAATTCTCCTAACCCTTCTAAATGGATTTGGCCAAAGCCTCCATCCACGCCCAGAAGGAGTCGAAGAGATTCCAGATGCATCTTCCCTGCTTTTCCTAGTGTCATCCTGTTCCAAAGAAATTGCATCGCTTGATTCAATAGATAATTGCAAACCATATGCAACCATACCAAGAACAATAGGAGCAGCTTTATCCCATGGCAAGTACTTCCCCTGAATTCTGACAACTAAGTTTTCATTATTAATAATCGATGCTGCAGAAACTTTAAATTCCTCTTCAGATATGCGGTGTGCATCAAAGGCTTGTGCAGCTGCATTCAGACCCATGCCAGATTGAAGTAGGTGTCTGCAAAGAGATAACTCTAAGCCTGCAAAAATTTAAAATTCATAACTCAAGAAAAGTATGGTAGAAGTCATGTAAACCTGCATAATCAATGACATCAATCATAACTAAAACCAAGAGGCAGGATGTACTTGTTCCTGTATCATTTTCAATATCTTTGCAATAAGCAGATTTCTCAGTTTCCACATTGTCACTTATTGTAATTTCTCCTTCAGAAATGGATGCTTGTGGCCTGGATAACACATTGACTTCTTTCTCGAGTTCTCCATTAGTATGAATGAAATCATCCACCATGCTAGCAGAACCACTTATATCTGTATCAAATGTATTTCTCTCAATTGTTTCAGCTGGGACCTGCAAGTCTGGTGAAGAAACACTGCCGGAAGTATTAGATATCGAAGGAGAAAGTTCATCCTCAGCTCTTGATATGACAAGTTGCACACCTTCACTTCCAGTAATTGATAGTGATCTTTGAGGAGATTTATCTTGCGAATCTTTGGCAACTTCAAGAACCTCCAATGGAGAATTGGCATCATGACTGCTGGAATTTCCAACCTGCATGGCCAGGGCTGGTATCTCCAAACAGCTTCCGAAGACATCCTCCTCCTTCATGCTGGCAGATGTACTCTCCAAGCTACTATCATAGTGAAGATCCAGTACCTGTTTCTCTGTTTCATGATTTTCTTCAACTTGATTCAGATGGCTCCCATATCCTTCATTTCCTTCCAGCCGGGGCTCAGAAATATTATCATCATTATTCGTCTTGCAAACATCTTCAGAATTAGCTTTAAGTGTTGATACGTCAAAGCTACTCAAATAATTGGCAGCCCATGCACCTTCACTATTGTTAAACTCTTCGGTCCCTTCACCTGGGCCTAGATGAAACTGAGGCGTGTCTAGTTCCACATCCTCAGTATTCCTCTCCGATGATGAGATGGGTGCTGTAAGAATGTGACCATCCACGCTCACCAGTACAACTTCTGAACTCAAATTCTGTGATTCCATCACATGATCCATGTCCAGACTATCATAACGGCCAGAACCATACTCTGATAACTCAGTTGAACCCTCAAACGAAGATTGGACATCCGGAAAATCATAGAATCGCCTTTCACTATCAGATTCCGTTCTCTGCAACCTATCTACACCAAGGGCAACGTGCTCATCTCGCAACTGAAACTCACCAGTATGGGAATCGCAACTTTCATCTAAACAAAGAGAATCATCTTTCGTACTAGTGCCACTATTAGTTTGATCTATGTTATTATCCTCTTGGACACCTTCATGACTATCAGCAGGATGCAAACCACCATTAAGTTCACCATCTTCCGCAGAGACAACCTCCCTGACGAAATACGCCTCTCCTGAATTGTCGAGATACATATGGAAATTGGCTTCAATCCCATTAACTTCTATTCGAACAACTTTTTCTGCACCCTTAAGAACACCCTGAAATTTTCCAAATCTAACATACCAAGGTGTGCTCCTAAAGCTACCATCCTGCTGCTGCACAGCAATTATATCAACAGCCCCACCAAATGGATGAAATGGGGTAGCAACAGAGTACACCCCTTGTGTAAGAAGGCTCCCGACTTTAACCACCACATTCATCTGCTCTATCCACCAAGAATGAACCCTTTAGAATACAAATGCAATCTAAAAGTCCTAATGATCTTAGTATTCGACAACCTAATTAACCACAGTGGACCCAAATCATGACAAGAATTATGCCATCTTCTCAAAAAGAATCGTAAGAAGCAAAATCCGCAAGCAATGCTTGAATTCTTGCATTCAAAATATCTGCACGGAAGACATAATCCAAAATGAATACAACTCTCATGAAAACCTTGCATACAAAAATCTAAGATTCAAATTCATCTCGGGGTAAATTAAAACCCTAAAGAACACAACTTCAGTCCGAAAAAACTCACATTCGAACCCCAGATGAGAATAAGATGAATGGAACATGAAAATAATCATGAAGTGCAATTGAGAAAAAGATAAGCGGGGAAAAGTCAATAAGATCTTACAAGTTCAAGAATTGATAAAATATCCCTGAAAAATGATTGCCGCCTTCACCGATCAATTGATCAAATTGAAAATTGTTCCGCAGCTCAAGAAACTCAAGTAGTAAAACTATTCTCTTGTTTCTGTGTCGATAAAGTTTTGGTTATCTAACGACCATGCGTGCAAAAAGATTCTGTGAATATTTGAAGGTATCTTTTTTTTTTATTTTGACCCAAAAAAAAAAAAAAAGTAGTGGAGACTTGAGAGAGGCGGATGCGTGTTCGGAGTAACGTGGTAGTGTCTTGATTTGCTAACGCTTGTGGGTTTGGCTGTAGTTTGCGCACTCCGTTGAATACAAAAATGTCAAGCACTAGAAAGTAGAAACTGGAAAGAGATTTGTCATTTCCCTTCAAATGCTTTGAAGTTTGGAGTTTGGAGAATTTAATGAAGAGGTTTGGATAGCAAACCAGCTGAGTCATTAATGCCTGTCCGTGTTTTCTCTTGCACTAAATTAGTAAATTCATAATTTATTAGATACTAAGTAGTAGTACTACTTACTTGTGATTATTATCAATAGTACTAGTAAAAGCAAGAAAGGGTAGCCATTGTTTGTTAATTCCTTGATCTGCACTCTAATATTTAAATTTTCTTAAAAAATATTTCGCCAGCAAATGTATAGGCACCCGTCTGAATCGATATTGGTTCATCGGATTTTTCCTGACCACTTTAGATCTCCGTTTCTCTAGTGTAAAGTGGAAATAATTATAACATAAAATCTATAGGCAGCGATAAATTTATAAGTAAATGTTAAATAAAAAACATAAAAAAAAAAGAAAAAGAAAATGTCACCCTTGAGTTTGAGCTTGAGTGCGTAATACTTTTCTTTGTTGTGTTATTTCTCTTTATGATTTTCTTTCTTTTTCTCTTTTTTTTCTAGTATAAAACTTATCGAACATATTATTGTTGCTGTCTGCCAAAAGAGGTTGGTTGGAAACTTGGAATATTATCTACCCAAAAATAAAAAACCACAACTTGTGGTTGTGGCATATGCTCGTCCTCTCCACTTCCTCTCTAGAATTTCTTAGTCAACGGAAACTAACTCCTCCCATGATTTGATTTCCTTCGTTTTTGTATTAAATTTTCTCTATTAAGATTATTCCATTTAGTAGTGTTTTTATTTCAACGGAATGTATTTATTGTGTGCTGAACCAACGGGGTTGGGGGTTGCAACTTCCTTGTCCTAGAAAAAGCGGTCCCAGTTAGTGCAGATTTTTTTCGGAAACGGTAAATTTGGAATAAAAAGAAAAGTTTCGACCCAAGGAAAAGTAAAAAAAAAAAGAAGAAGAAGATGAAGAACAAAAAGAAAAGCACCGAAGCGTAAAATCAACTCAAGAAGTCTCCTTCACCTTCAGCTGAATCCCCCGGCCGGGCCTCGTGCATTTTTATACTAACTTTTACTAGTCCAGTCCTCCATCGAGACCACCGTAGCCGTCGCCACCTCTAGCCGGCCCGCTTCCTCCACGTCAATAGCATCGCCACCCTTTTCACGCCCTAGAAAATGGCGAAACTACCCCTCCTCCTCCTGATCCCCCTCCTCGTTACTCTTGTCCCCTCCGCCTCTGCCGAGATCAAAACCTTGAAGATCACCTCCGACTCCCGGCCCATGATCCTCTTCGAACGCTTTGGCTTCACCCACACCGGCCACGCTACCATCTCCGTGTCCTCCGTGTCCGTCGTCTCCTCTCTTTCCACCCCCGACCCATCTCGCCTGGGGTTTTTCCTCCTATCCGAAGAATCCCTCATCCAAGTCCTCCTTGAACTCCAACAGACCCCATCTTTTTGCGTCCTAGATTCCAAATTCATAACCCCATTGTTCACCTTCCGGGGCCTCTCTCCGCCGCCGGCGTCCTCTTTCGTTCACTCTTACCCCGTCACTTCCCCCAATGAGTACTCCCTTTTCTTCGCCAATTGCGCCCCCGAATCTAAAGTCTCCATGGCGGTCCGCACGGAGCTTTACAATCTCGATAACATGGGCCGCGTTAAGGATTACCTCTCCGCGGGCCTCACCCAGCTGCCTGCTTTATATTTCACGTTTTCCATGATTTATTTTGGATTTCTGGGATTTTGGATATACTACTGTTGTAAGAATAGGTTATCCGTCCACCGGATCCATGTGCTGATGAGCCTCTTGGTGGTAATGAAGGCGTTGAATCTGCTCTGCGCCGCAGAGGACAAGCATTACGTGAAGAGCACCGGTACCCCTCATGGATGGGATGTTTTGTTCTACATTTTCCAGTTTATTCGCGTGGTTCTTTTGTTTACTGTGATTGTTTTGATCGGTACCGGGTGGTCGTTTTTGAAGCCATTTTTGCAAGAGAGGGAGAAGAAGGTGCTGATGATTGTGGTCCCACTTCAGGTCTTGGCTAATGTGGCTTCCGTTGTGATTGGGGAAACGGGGCCTTTCATCAAAGATTGGGTCACTTGGAATCAGGTGTTTTTGCTGGTGGACATTATTTGCTGCTGTGCGATTATTTTCCCAATTGTATGGTCCATTAGGTCGTTGAGGGAGACTTCGAAAACAGATGGGAAGGCTGCTAGGAATTTGGCTAAGTTGACACTTTTTAGGCAGTTTTACATTGTGGTCATTGGTTACTTGTATTTCACCAGAATTATTGTGTTCGCATTGAGGACGATCGCTGCTTATAAATATCAGTGGGTGGCCTTTGCAGCCGAAGAGATTGCAAGTTTGGCCTTCTATACCGTGATGTTTTACATGTTTAGGCCAGTTGAGAAGAATGAATATTTTGTCCTTGATGAGGAGGAAGAAGAGGCTGCCGAGATGGCTCTCCGCGATGAAGAGTTTGAGCTTTGAAGTTCAGATCCGGTTGGCCCTCTTTTTGATTTTGCAAGTCTATTGCTCTGACTTTTTAGAAATTTTTCTTTTTGGGTTATAAAATTACACTCTTTCAAGTAGATTTATCAGGATTAACGGCTGTTTTGTATTTCTGTTTGTAACAATTGGCTTTTATGGAATAGCGCCTTGCAGTTCTGGAACCATGCAATCACTCTGCCACTTGGACACTTACCATTTTTTGTTTTATTGATCTCAGTATGAATGTGTTATTGTTATTTGGTGATTAAATTCTGATTTTTTTACATTACATCTTTATTAACGCTTAAGTTTGAGTTATGCTTTGCTGGTTGGTGAGATGAAATTTGTTGGTCTTGTGTTCTAACAAGCTAATCTTTACTGTATGATTCTATCCTAACTGTAATAGAAGGATGAATGTTTTGCCAATCCTTCCTCATGCGCATAGAAGGATGAATGCTGTTCAAGATTATATCTGCTTGCATCACACAACAATAAACAAGTAACTGTTGATTTGATGATACTAATTAAGTTTTCGTTACTGAATGTCCATCCAATTATTTTTGATATGAATTGTTTTCGTTACTGTCCCAGACATGGAAAGATTTCCGTTACTAAACAGCTAATCTTATTGCAAATTAACAGCTGCTTTTGGTTAAGATTAAAGGAAATATATAGCGTAGCTTGTCATTTCATGGCTTATTGTGTTTTGCTTTGATTGAAATTCTTTTTCTTGTTTTGAACCACTGTTATGTTGCTTTTATTTAACTCCAAATCTTGAATGATGCTCCTTTGGTTGCTCATATTATGTGTAGAAAGTTGTCTCCTATTTAGTTCAAGATCATGGACAGTCTTGTTATCAATCAAAGATCTTAGAATTATCTGATCAAGGAAGCGTATTGAAGAGGAGAGTGAAGGTTGCTTCACATACTTCATTATGCCCAGAAGTAGTGGCAGAGATAGATAACCCCTTGGTTTATTGCCATGCTTTGTAGCAGACTGATTGTGGTGGGATTTTTTCTTGAGTTTTTGCAGTTTCATGCATCGTGTAAAGCATACTAATGCTATGAACTGTAGAACATTCATAGAGTATGAAAATTTTAGGTTTCAAAGGTGCATTGTGGAATTATTCTCCTCTCCTTGTTTACCTGCAGTATTTGCTTGGTGCTAGCATTACATTGTTCATTAAATCTTAAAGGTGGTCCTGCTGTGAAATGTTCTTATTTTTGGACTTGTATTTGGATGTCAAAGTTAGGGATTATACTTTGAGATTAACCAAAATTAGGTGCTTGTCCTCTATGAGATCTTTGTAGTGTAAAGACACACTTATTAATGGCTAACAGAGGTAGAAAACTCTCTTAGCTGCACATTCTTTTGTATTTCACAGCTGAACAAGTTACTTATGTATCCCCTAGTCGTGTAAAGATTTGGAAGAAATATGTAGTTATGAGGTTTAAGCCTTTATGAATGTGAAGATGGATGTATAATGGTTCATGCAACATTAATCACTTTGTTTGATATGCTACTTGTCATTGAGTGTACTCTGTTCCTCTCACGACCCTCCAGATGTTGTTACTACTGACCCTTGGCTCTTCCAGTTCCGACAGGAGATACTGTTGTTCAAAATGGTCAGCCATTCTGTCATATATTTCTTTTGTTTGGCAATCATAAAAATTCTTAAATTCTCATTATACTTTTTACTCTTTAAACAATAGCTCGTTGTTTGAGATCACAATAGATCTTTATGAAATGTCTATATTTCCTCGAACCGATCTGTTCATCTCTCTGGTTATAGGTTATTTTTTATGACTAGGAGTTGATTTCCTCTAGTTTAAGACACTGTTGTTAGCTTCAAAACATGTTTCAATTCAACCTTGTTTATCCCATTAGTAAAGTGTGTTGGAGTTGGAGACGCTGCACCTGTTTTGTAACAGCTTTGCTGCCGTTCATGAGCGTTGCGCTAAGATAAGATACTTCCTGTGACCAATTTTTGTGCCAAGGACAGTCACTGCTCAATCTTACAGTGCAGGCAGGCATCAATTGATGTTGTAGCTAAGTTTTGAAATTGCCTATGGCGTGGTCCTAGGGAACATTGGTGTATGTTGAACTGTTAGCATCGTTGTTTGCCTTTTTAATCTATTATCATAATGTTAAAGCAATCGATTCAGAAATAGTACATATTTCTCCCAGAAATTTATGGGCAATTTCCAACGTCCTCCGCCTTCACCCCAAAAGCACCTACGCTAACAGGAACGAAATGAAAGAAAACATGAATGTTATCAGAAATTAATCATAACGGGTCCCGAGGAGTTGTCCATGCACTGCCTTTTACTCAACTGTTTTTGATCTTTCAATCCTCTTGTAAACTTCCATCAAGGAGAAGGGAATGTCACGGGGGGTTTAATTTGCTATGGGTAGTTTAGTTGCGTCCTGGGGTGATAATACCGTTTGAGATTCGACCATTTTGAAAAATAGGTTTATAACAGCAGTTACGAACCACAATCTTCTTCTGCTCCAATCTACCAAATCTCGTAACAAGA